GGAAATTCCAAAAAGTCCGGACTTTCCGGAAATGTTGCGAAAGGTCCGGATTTTCCGGCACTTTCGAAAAATCGACTTTTCCGGCTTCCGGAAAATCCGGACTGTCCGGAAATTCCAAAAAGTCAGGACTTTCTGAAAAGTCCAGACCGGCGGATTGCGTGGCGCACGACCTCGATCTTGAGCCACGCAGCCGCTCGATTCTCTCGGACGGACCTGGGAAGCTGCAAGATCGATTTTGTGTGGCCGGAAGGTTGCGTGGCCTACAGCAGCGATTTTGTGGCCGGTAGGGTTGGCGGCCTCCTGCGCGATCCACAAAATCGCACCTGTGGTCGGCGCAAAATCGATTTTGTGTTGCGGAAGGGTTGCGCGACGCACAAAATCGATTTTGTGGAAGGTAGGGCGAAAGAGCGCGATCCCCTGGCTTGCAGCGCGCGGGCGGCACTGCGGGAGTTGTAGGTCGTGAATTGAAAAGAGATATTATGGCCGTACTAACTACGGATTTGTCAAGTAGTCCAAAAAATTTCAGGGTCCGCGCGTGATGGTATCAGAGGAGGCGGCACAGCTCACGCATAAAGGCCTCCTTGTATTTCTTCGCATCGTCCGGTCCTTAAGCTAGCTAGTTAGGAAGGCGGGCCGCTTCCAGTATCCCCGAGGTCCTGGCACATCAATTCGTGTCGGGACGGGGGGCTAGCCCGCAACCCCGAGCACCGGCAACAAGCGGCACAGGCTCCACGCAACGAAAAAGCTTCCGGGAAGCGAAGGCCTTGGCAACCTCGCTGGCAAGACCAGAGCCATACGCTTAGGACTCGCGACACAGTTCCGACACACAGTGTCAGGACTCCACGCAAGACGGCTATGCGATCGTGAGAAAACGGCGCCAGGCCTGACCCCAACAAAAGCAGGGCGCTCGCAGTGGCTTCATCCACAGGCTGGGCGCACTGTTCATGGCCTCCCGTTTGCTCGGCTCGCCTCGCCTGACCCTCACAAAAGGCATGCAGAACGGCCGGGCTGTCGCGCACTTGCATACACCTGCCAAAGCCCCCGCCAAAGATTGCAGTCCACTGCCTCCGGGGGTGCTCTGGTTGGCTAATTTGCCTGACGCCCATCGCAGCGAGCCCAATCCTTCAAATGCGGGGCAGCCGGTGCCCGGCAAAGCTCGGCCACCATCATAGACGTGGCCAAAGCAAAACCTCAGAAACTAAGCGGCCTGTCCCACATCGCGATGGCCCTCGCAAAAAACCCAACGCGGGCGCACCTCCGGGCGGGCCGGCTATCAACAGGCGGAAGGCTCTATCGGCGACACCACGCGCCGCTTGGCAGGTCGCGTCCTGAGGGCGCGGGCACACTGATGCCGGTGTGTTGCCCTAAAGAGCCGAGCCAGCGGCGCCACTTTTCTAAAAGTCGCGGCCCCGGGCCTCCGCGAATTCTTGGGATTCTTGGAAGAAACACGCACCCGCGGGACCCCTAAAAGTGGTTTTTTCCGGAACCCTCGTAGCAGTGGGGGAAGCTTCCAAAAGTAGTGTTTTTGGCTACCCCTCCCGGAGGGTCCTCGGAAAGGGTCGCGCATCACGGAAAACCTTCCGTCTTAGAAGCCCCGGGCAAATATTTCCATAGGGGCACAGGCCTTCCCCGCCTGCTTCTGGGCGATGCTGGCATAGTCCCAAAGATCTGCCCGCGCTAGAGGTAGGCAGCGAAAGGCGCAGGCCGCCGGTGCCTACCCCTGGTTCGCCTTTTTCCAGTGCGCCCGCCCCCTGCAGTTTGTGTCGGGTAAATCATGGCGCAAAACACTACGGCCTTAAAAAGTCCCCACACCAAAGACACTAGCGGCTATTGTCATGGATGGGTTGCCGCCTGCCGGCTTCGCGCGGTGAAGTTGTGCCGCATGTGGCTGCGCTACTGAAGCGCGGCCCGCCTGGTTCGGCGCCCACTGCTTTATGCAAAAGCAGGCAGCACTGCTTTATGCAAAAGCAGTGCGGGCGGCACTGCGGGAGTTGTAGGTCGTGAATTGAAAAGAGATATTAAGGTGCGGTTAGTAGCATCGCGAATTGAAGACCAAGGAGGAACTGCCGGTGGGGAATAGGTGGACGAATATAATGCGTCTGTTGCTATTCTACTACTTAGACGCATTATTCTTTACTTGGTTGGGGCGGGAACAAGCTATTTGAACAAAAAAAACCCAAGGTATTTCTATTTGCCGAGTCAATACCACGACGCACCATATCCATAGGTACAGGTACAACTCAAACGATGTTTCTCTGGTATCCACACGATAACGATCCTTTATTTTTTCCTGCAGTTTATCTTTATGCTCTACATTTACCCCTAATTGAATCAACACGAGTAAGTATAGAACTTTTTCGAGATCACTACGTATTTTCGCGCTTTGGCCGTTCCCTTACGCAACATGAAGATGACTTCGTCGAATTTAGTGTTTTACCAACCATTAAGTACCCCCAGTAAGTATTTCAATTTTTTGTACGACAGAAAATAAATACAGCATTCCTGCACTTGTATACCGATGAGAACCGCCCATACTGGGAAGAAAAAGAAAACCGAAAACTCTTTCTAGACAAGGAAGTGAGCAACAAAAGCATGAAATCACACCGAGGCAAAGGCAAACATACAAGAACCAAAGCACCACACACTATGTGGACGCATCGAGATGAAATCCTTGGCTATAATTTGCCCGATGTGCAGCTGTTACTCGTGATCTTATCGTCGTGTGGGAGCAGCTGGGGTCCTTTGGTGCCTCTCCCTCTTATCGGTGGTTTATCGGACAACTATATGAACATGATCTCGCATAGGCATAGTCGGTGACAATGCCTATTTAGGTGGATAGTAATCTTAAATCACCAGTTCAAGGTTACTATCCACCGAAGGCGTTTAGGTGGAGTAATCTTAAATAGTTTCCGCAGTCTGGAGTTTTTTTTT